CAAGAATAAGAGTAAAATTTGGAACAACTTGTTTTATTTATTCAGTCTGCAAATAATATTCTAAATACTGGTAGTCAACAGAATTGGAAGTAGCTTTAGATTAGCATTTCCTAGCCTTTATAGAGAATGTTTCATTTTTAAATGTAGTGCTAAATGTAGTGCTTTTAGCACTACACAAATTATGTTTTTTTCAAGGCAAATCCATAGCCGAGAAGGTTAGGACCTAACTGGTTTAAGGGGTGTCGTAGTGACTCACACAGTACGTAACTAGGCAAAAATTCAGAAGGTGAGAAGTAGATTTTTCTTTTAACTTTTCACCTCTGAAGTACTAAGGATCACTATTCACAGGGCAATTTTTTATTCCAACACACGAAAATTGCAGACTCTCTGGAGAGATTTAATTAATTAAATTAATTAAATTAGCCACTGCCATTTAATTAATAGCAGTGGCCATCATTGAAAATCGGCTTGCATTATGAATTACACCTGGATCGTGCTGCGTATATAATCCTTTCTTTGGACAGAGTTTCATTAGCATGCAGCCTTCCGTGCTGATTATCCTAGGGAAAAGAAGACAAATCATGAACTTCTTGTCGGTAACACACGAAACGCTCTTCTATACAACGTAACAGCCCAGAAACAAGACGCTGAGGGAGGGGAAGCGTTAGGCAACGTGATGCCACGCTGCCACCTAGCGTCACCCGGCGGATTGCGGGGAGCCGTTTTATCCCTTAAATAAATGGCCTTTTTACTGGACAGAAGGGCCAAGAGAACAGCAGCAAGGGACCCTGAGAGCCACAGTTCCTGTTCATTGATTCAGACATCCCAAACCCAGCCTCGGGCCTTCCTTCCTTCCCGGGACCCTTTTACAAGGCTTGCACCCAGAGCAGGACTGAGGTAAGACATTCACGTGCTTCAGAGGCGCAACGCTGCAACGAGTCCCTTGACCCTCTCCACAGTAGTTCTCTGCATCTAAAACAGTTACAGTAGTTCCTTACATTAAATACTAATAAATAGGAAAGCATTTATGATATTTACATAATAATGCCATTTACAAAATAACAATGTAATTTACCTGCGCTTAATGTAGCAGGTAGAAATAGAGAGTCCTTAAGCACCCCAGAGCTAGATGATTACAATAAAGGCCTTGACAAAAGGCACGATGTGATGGTCAAGTAGAAATACCGTTTTCCCAGTTCTTGATTCAGATAGCCAAGTCCAAACTCTCTCGTATAATGCTTAGGAAGTTTCCACACGCAGGAGTCTGAGCAAGACTGGACCCCAGAGTCACTGGAAACCGGGGAGTGCCTTCCCACCTATTCCCACGTTCCCAGGCACGTGAAGTCCTCCAAGAAGCTTTCTTTCTGTTGTCGTTTGCTGTAAAAACTGATAACATTTATCAATAGCAATGGAGTATAAAAGCTCTAAAAAGTACACATTCTCTACTGCCATGAATAATCTAACAAATTGGCTGAGCTCTATGGGAAACCTCGGCGTGTTTGCTTAGGCTCACTTGCAGTGCAAATAGTCATAAGTATTCATGACAGAAAGCTTTATTTTTATGAAACAAACAAGCTGAAATGCGTTATATTGCACTCAATCTGAAGACATAGATTCTGCTAGCAGTGGGTCGACAGATTTTTACATGTAAAAAGGCCATAACCCCTATTTAAATTTATCCTTCAGCCACAAAAATGGGAATTATTACAATAAAGTAACCTGAAACCTTTTTGTGAGATTTTTATATAATTATACTGGTTTCCCACAGTTAAGACTATGAATAAGCTTCTGACAATAAGCTCTCAGTGTTCTTTCTGACACGGTGAAGGGATTCTTTACAAACCTTTTGAAGTGAAGAAACTGAACTGACGGAAAACTCTGAGACACGGTGGTTCATAATAGGACATGTTCTTCAGCTGGATAAATTGAAGGAGTGGCACCTTTGTAATAAACCTCCAGATTCATACGCCTCCAGCAAGGAACAAATTAAAAGGAAAAACAAACAGAACTGTCACATCAGAACCATCTCCCATTACCTCGGGCCCTTTCCAATTACAAACATTTCCAAAAGCAGTTGTTCCACTTCTGAACTGTAAATCTACCTGAAAACTTTTTAGAAATTAAACCCGAGTTTTGAAAAGGTAATTTTTGAGAAAGTTTCACTTGAAAATTTTAATATTGCAAAAAATTGTATCACAGCCATAAAATACACATGTTGCCTTTTACGTATATAAATCTATGCATGCATGTAATTTAGATGTTTTATATAATGTATTTTTATATTGCATATTTATATTGCTAACAATACATAAAACATAAAAATAGGAATGTTTTGATATTGTGTTTATGTACACATTATCTGTATCCAGATCTTTCTGAAAGGAGATTTAATGCTGTAAGATTTATGTGTATGTTTGATCAGAGTTTAGCATATCTGCTAGTGTTTTGGAATCTGGAAATTTCAACTTTTCTTCTAGAATCAACAAGAATTAAACTAACTTAAAAGCATGAACACTTTTTTTTTTGCTACTGTAACAGTACAACAGTAATTTAGATAGACATTTCTGCCCATATTATTTTTACTTTCTTGATAGAAGACAAAGCTTACCGATGTGACAGCTTGCTGATGACACTATATTATTCAAGATGATAGAAACAGAGCTGACTGAAAAACTGCAGAAGGGCATTATGGAATTGAGTAACTGGCAAATACAGCAGGCAATGAAATTCAATGTAGATGAACATAAAAGAACATACATAGGAAAAAATCTTAATTTCACGTATCAAATAACAGACTTTGACCTGACCATCATTCAAGAATAAGATCTCAGAGATATGACAGACATTTCCACAAAAATGTCAGACCGATGTTCAGCAGTAGTTAAAAAGGCAAATCAAATGGCATACAGTTCACAAAAGAGCAGAAAGATGGAACAGCTTTCACGTAAGGGATGGCTAAGTAGACCTGGGAGAGAGAACTCGAGGGGAATCTGTGTAACGGGGCCTAGATGAGCACCAATTGTTTGTCTCTTCCAGTACAAGGACTGGGGACATCAAATGAAGCGATAGGAATCGGGTTCAAAAGAAAAGAAAAAGGAGGGGGTTCTTCAGACGATGGCTATTTGAGCTCTAGAAGTACTTGCCAAAGGATGTTGTAGACAATGAAAGTTTAAATGGGTCAATGGGAGACTGAACAAGTTTATGCAAGAGAGATCAGCTTTATTTCCTTATCCTTGTTTAAAGATTTCCTAATTCATCATTTTTTATGTTCTGCCTTTCTTTCTTTCATCGGACCATGACATTCCCCTTAAGACATTCTCGTAAGTGCCATACAGTTTATTTCCAAACAGAAGACTGACAGAGTGGCATGCTAAATAAATACTTCTCTCTGTAATTATCCTAATTTCTAATAGCTCCATCGTATTGCCTGGAAAAAATCTTGATAGCTGCTCTAAGCTAGCTATGAGACCTTGATTGCAAGGCACGTGTCCTTAACTCTACAAATGTTTACTCACAAGTCAGCAGAAGATAATATTAGCATAAATATAGTATTAGCATAAGTAAACATGCAAATATTGGCAAGAACGTAATTGTAGAGTGGCCTCTAACAAACTTAACAGCGCACCTTATGCATAATGGAGAGTCGTAGTCTATATTGTACGTAAAATTATTGTTGTGTATCAGTTGTTGTGGCTTAACCATGTTAATTTTCTTCCCTGGTTTTGCAGATTGTACTGTATTTAGATAGAAGTGATGACAATAAAGTGGATACGTGATTTAAATTTGTTTCGGTACAATGTCTTTATAAAATACAACAACTAATGGGAGCGAGAAAGCAGTCAGAGCGCCCTCGTGTCTAGTTTCAAGCTACAGGGAGATTTTGAATATGGAACCAGTACACTTCCAACGCAACGTTGCAATAGCCAAGATGAGCACCAGGCAATGCTTGTGTGCTTCATCTCCTACAGCTTCAGTTCGGAGTTCGGCTGACTCCAGCTCAGGGGCAGATTGCACCAGACAGGCCCGTGCCCCCCCCCCC